ATGTTACCGCAAACATTTTATCGTAAGAAGGCTATTGGCCTCGCATCTCTACAATGCCGGCACGGGGCGATATGTATATGCCGGGTTTTGGTCGGCCGGGCCAGGCAACGTTTCACATGAACCAAAAGCTGGTTGGCCTTCGTCCATCCTTGCGGTTGCTGGGGGGGGTAGATTAGGTTCCAAGCTACTTTTATAGGAATGTGTTGCGGTATGCTTTTGGGTAGCTGGGCCTGTGACAAAGGAAGGCTTGGTCCGCGTCACTTCGACCGATACGGTTTTTGATGGGAAGACAAACAAACAACACAACAACAGACAAAAACAACAAGACAACAACAACAACAACGACAACAACAACGGTGACAACACCACCACTAACAACAACAACGGCAGCAACAGCTAAGAAACGCCAGAGGGGCACCCTTTTTATGCAGTCAAGCGCGTGAGTGTATGAAATGTCGGCCGTGCTCAAACTTGCTATTGTTTTCTTTTTTTTCTTGTAACGACGCATCACAACATAGGGCAAGAAGAAGAGCCACTCTAAGAATGGCAGCGGCGGCGGCGGGGCAACCGGGGCCGGTTCGGGCGGAGGCGGAGGGGCCGGGAGCGGCGGGATCAGCAACGGCACCCCCGCTGGGGGGGGCGGCAGCGGCGGCGGTTCGCCGGGCGACGGCCTACCCGGAGGGGCGGTTACCCAATCCGAAGGGGGCTGCAAATGCGTTGTCATGTAGTGCAAGCGTAGTGGTACATAATAAAGAGAGAACAAGGGCATCAGATGATGCTCTTGCGTTATGTAGCAAGGAAGGGGGGGGGAGGGGCTCTCCCTCCGCGCGCGTGCGTGTTCGTGTCGCGCAAAGAAAAGATGACGGTCGGCGTCGGCGGCTGCGGGGGTATGTTGTGCTGTCGTTGCTGCATAGGTACCGTAATACATTTGCGAATAAGAAGAAGACGAACGTAAAAGCTGCTGTAGGAGGTGCGATTTTTTTTTTTTTTCTGTGATGACGTTGTTTGATTGTTGGTTTGTTGTTGTTGTTGTTGTTGTTGTTGTTGTTGTTGTTGTTGTTGTTGTTGTGAAGCTGCAGCTAGCTGCGAATGACCCGCCCCCCCCCCCCCCAAAATCCCCACCCCAGGGTGCCTGCTCTGCATGCTTTTGCCCCATCTCCCGGTGGGGGGTAATAACATGGGGCACCCTCCGTCCCAACCAAAGTCCCTCCAAAGGGAGTGGGTGGCCCCTTGTCGGAAAGAAAAATATAACCCCCAAAAACTCCCGGCCCCCTTTCTGCCATCCCCTTTGTCCACCTCCTCCTCGTTTTTGCGCCACAAAAACCGGCGAATAAAGGTGTAACTGCCTTTGTGTTGGTACCAAAACTCTGAATTTCTT